TATATATATATATATATATATATATATATATATATATATACTGATTAGGTAGAAGTCTTATAAGGATATAATTATCATTTCAGCTTCTGCACTGTCATGACTTTAATGTTAAACTACGGTAGCTACTGGCATATCTGAACAAAAGCGAGAATTTGAGACCAATGAGTGGAAGAACGAACAAACCGTTGGTTGCATAGGTTCTCCGCTATCCAGATCTATCCCTACCGGCATATCGCCACCGGCATTTCGTTCTTCGACAAGCTTCATGATAGTTTCCTGGGCGTCATAACCAGAATTGATGGCTAAGGTTTTTGGTATCACCAGTAGAGCATTCGAGTACGCCTGAAATAACATATAGCGCATGCATCATAATGAATGATACTCTAGTTCTACTCACCACTGCACCTAATTTTGCTCGTCCTTTCAGATTCTCCATTTCCTTCATCAACATACAATACGCTGCTATTTCGAAGGCGCCTGCTCCTGGTAGGAGATGCTCTAAAATTGCACAACCTCCGCTAGAAAAGAGCTGAACGTCTAGCAACAACAACGAATGCACATACTTCACATGGCATGTGATGGGGCCACAACGGAGCTATGGCATGACATACGTAAAGCTACACCGCTTCCTCAAAGTTAGATAAGACTTTGACATGACGGACGGAAATATTTGCCCCAGACAAAATGGCACTATTGGCATTACCACTACGTCATTTAATTGAACATCTACCCGCGATACGGGTGCCGAACGAGTTCACTTAAAGAGTATCTAAAGGTAGTCTACAAATGTGTTGAAATGTTAATGGTAACCGACTCGCAAGAGCTTCAGACTCACGTTCATACTATACCATATGACTCGCGCCAAACGAGTGTGATCTATTCCATCACGTAGAAAAAATTTATGGGCAAAAGCAAGTCTTGACCTAACTTCAAAGAGGTGAAGTGGAGCCGCGCTCTACGAAGAGTACCAAAAGTTTTTTCTAACATAATTCAAAAATAGCTCACTGTCAGATATTGTGTTGAACACAGCCCTAAGACCATCATGAAGAGCATCCTTTATTTGCTGTATGGTGTGCTTGTTTGGTCCCTTGATCAGGAGCGTCACAGATTTTGGGTCCTTACATTCTTCGACAAATGTGTACTTGTCCTCACCCTGGAATGGAAATACTTTTGTACAGCATTCATTGCATTTTGTTACTCGTGACCTTCCCTAATTACAGCACAATGCTATTTAAGTGAAATGTCTCACAGAAGCCCTTTCACTTATTACCAAACCGAGCGCCACGGAAAGGTTGGAATTGTGTCCGACTTCGTGAGAAGCAATGAGAATGAGCACATTATGTCCAAGCAGTGAAATCACAAATGATCTCCTTGAAGATATTTGAATTCTTTTCATTTCCTAGTTCCCTTATGTAAGGAAACTTGTTGATGCAATTCTATGAACGGAGTCCCATACATCCCTTACACTTTATTTCTTGCATCAATCAACACAATTCAAAGTCCAGAAATGTGTACCGAACATCTTCGATGGTATTTAACAAATGCCCGTAACGGCAGCAGGATTACCTTTACACAAACTTCATTACTTCAGCTTTTCTTAAACACCTTAAAATGAGGTGCTGCACGAAAATTTCAAAGAAGGTGCTGTATCTCGTTGTCTTGCAGCCAGGCTTCCCTAGATATATGAGCATAATTCATTAATATTTCTCCCAAGTCCCTGTTCCCCCTTAAAGTCGTATACGACTCGAGTAGAGGGCTCTTCAACCCTCAAAAGTTCTCAATGCATCCTCCGACTTCCCCTTCCCCTTTTTGATTTCAGAGTGGAAAACATACCAAAGTATGCTCGTAGACCAGTCCTGCATATCCAAGAACTTCTGGTGTGAGATCATCTACAGAATTCACAGCTTCACCACCGACAGCAAGCTGTAGTCTTTCCATGTTACGACGTTTAGCACGACGAAGTGCAAGGATGCCTTCAGCTGCTAGCAGGTCTAGCGAAGGAGGATCGATACCCTACCAAGAAATAAGGTGAAACATAAAAGGCAGCACACAGACGAACACATTCACAAGGTACCTTCTGATTGATAACAACGAAACCTTTTCTATCTCCAGCCTTGCAAACCTAAAAGAATTGCTGAAGTCCAAAGTAAAATGCTTATGATTAACAGAGTACCTTTTTCTTGAGATCAATAATCTTCAAAACTCTTTTAGTAATGAAGTCCCTTTCCGCCGCGAGTAGTTTTTCTCGCTCCGCAGCAGTTTTGTAGAATAAGCCAGAGTTGACTTCGCTGAACAGAAAGTATAATCTAACACTAGAGTGTTAAGAGAAAAAACTCACGTTTTTTCATACTCCAGAGAAACATTACAGGTGAGAATATAGGCATTCTCTACATGCTTTGGCATGTCGGGATGACGAGCTCCATGATCGAGCACTAGACCACTGAAATAACCGAAATACCAGCTGAGCGGAATAACTAAGCTACACAATATTGCAAAGAACTGGCGTTCTACTAAGCGTTGCCAAATTCACAAAGCGTTGTTGAGGCTGTTGAAAACCACCTCAACAACGCTTTGCGAATGAAAAAAAAAACTGAAGTATTAGTGTCGCAATGGCATAAGTGTGAAGTGTCCGACTTTTGCTGTTTGGACTCAAAAAAGAGAGTAATGTTGACGCTTTGGTGACAGTTCGAATAAAATGAAATTTCTAGGTGCAACGCGAACGATGTTTAAGTCGCTTGTGCTTGTAAAACATTCCTGAACGGTGGACAGGTTCCCAACACACTAACCCTGCCTACAGAAACAAATATTTCTAAGTGATTCTAGAATGAGATGTCATTATGACGAATGGCTCAGCACCTCAGAGCTGAATCGTGAGAATCGCATCAATTTCAAAATATTCGCCAACATAGTGGAGCAAAGAATACAAGGAAACCATCGCTCTACTATTTCTGACCACTTCTGATCACATTCTGGTACAGCATGAGCGCATATATCAGTCAAACGCCCCGCAGGTAAAATACTAAAGAGATCCGAGTCATTTAATGGTGCAGTATAAGTCAGAAATGATTTCTGCAGCTGCTCTTGGATGAACCTTTGACCCCAAAGGATAGTCTGAGGTTTGCTGTAGGGTCAAAAATGGCCAAGGCAGAGGTAATAAGGACCCTAAAACTGGCTTACCCGACGTAGATACCATAGTAAGTGGTGATGATGATTTCTTAACGAGCAAAAAGATGATGAAGACTTATATTAAAACAACTTTGTAACGTCAAGTAATCTTCGGATAATTGTGCATTTTTCATTTGAGCTCAGCCCACCTCAGTACAAGCTCCATACCCTTTGATGGTTTGACCATCTTTCCTTCAATAGCCTCCCCTTTTCAATCCGAATTCTAGAAGGAGTAGCGTTATAGGGTGCTTTATACTAGCCCCGCTCTCCTCACTGCAGACCCCTCCCACAGTGAAAATTCGACCAGCCTTCTTTTGGCACTCCTGTTTTTCATTTTCTCCGCATTCAAGTATGTTTTTAACGGAGTTATGGACTTCGATCTTGGCTCCGTCCATTCCGGTACAAGCTTCATTTAATCTGGGCACTCGCCCTCTAAACGTTTTTGAACGAAGTTAGGAATTTTTGAAATTTAGCCTCGCCAAGTGCAATGTCCGCCCAAGCTGGTGACCTTCCCTCTCGCTGAAACCTCTAACCACTTTCCTCTTATCGATATCTGGTTTCATGTTAACAGCGAATTAGCTTCTCTTCATACTATTTGATTAGTCAAAAACCAATTAAGTTTGAAAAGTGATGGAGCGTGATATTCTAGGTTGAAGAAGGAATAACAGAAGAGTGCAACTAACCAATGTTGCAAGTGTTGCCACTACATTCAACACTAAACACTACATCATCAACAGAAAAGTCCAACTTACCGTACTAGAGTTGTATCCATATCAGTCTCGTGATGCATTTCCATCTTTTCAATCATATGAAGATCAGGCTCCGCATCGCCTTGTCGAATGGCCAAAACAGCGTCGACTACGCACCTTTATTCAATGATATAAGCAACCTACGAGAAGTAAAATGACTTAATGAAAACTCAAACTCTGTGATATGATCAGCAAGCTTATGGTGGAGTTTTGTGCGGAGTGAGGTTCGAGCCACTTCAATAAGCACATTACGATCAATCGTAACCTGCAATGGGAATACGACACTGAGCACAACAGTGGGACAAATCTCAACTGTATCTATCAGACAATAAATATGATACACGTGGCCATTCACATTATGCTAGACTTAATATGGATTTGGCCAAGCATCGTAGCGAGTATAACCAGATACTTCGACTTGAAGGTACAGTCCACGAGAAAACGGTTTGTTTGATTTCCTACTGGAACAATTTCTAGCACCCGTGGATAGCGCAAGGGCTGCTTTAGGTTGGGAAAACAGTTTAGCCAGAGTGTAACGAGCGTTCGAAAATTATCCCCTCTGTATGCCACGTCCGCAACTGACCGCATTACAAGGGCCCTGAAGAGGCTATGCCATTCACAGTGGAGTGCCTGAAACCAGTGATCAAGCGGCTGATTAGAGGAAATACAAAATTCATGCGGATGATTACAGAAAATAGCAATGTGAAAAAGAACATAAGAATAAAGGCTCAGTCCATAATAATCTCCAGTTGATTTCCCCAAATAAATAATAGAAGTGTTCGTGGAGAACAATGGATAAGTGGCGAAGAAAGCGAAAATCTGCAGAACATGCGAATCGGAACCTTCACGCTGTTTCCTTCTTGCTTGCTTTTTTGTCTTTCCTTTGCTGTGAATTTTGTCATGATTTTTGTTATGTTACATACTCTTATTCGCCCTGATCAGTCGCTTGAATTTTCATCACATGCTACACTGAGAATGGTGTAGCTTCTAGAAGGTTATTAAAGCAAGGCCGTTTCTCGGTTTAGTATAAAGTTGTTTGCCCCTATCGCGCTCCATCTGGGCCGTACCCGACACGACAATGCCCGTCGCACACTTGGGGTTCTGGCGCTGTACGATTAAAATAGTTTCTGGGTGTCAAACAAGACAAAAACTAGTACTACCGTGCTTTGCCTGCAAACTGAGCTCTGGTTCTACACAAAAATGAGTATCCTAACGGTTCTCGATACCATTCCCCTCCGCTGTATACGTGAGAGAACACCCTAGCACCTTCGCTAACTTACCTCCTGTTTGAATTTCTCCAAGAGCTCCAAAGTACGCTCGTTTGCCCATTCAAAGCCCTCGGTGATAAGACGTGGGTGTACTCCCTGAAAACGAATACAACTGATTAAAAAAGAAAGCATAGAGGAACATCAGCAACTACCTCTGAGATATAAGTCTCGGCCTGTTTTAGCAGTTCACCAATCAAAAGAACAGTCGATGTCGTGCCGTCGCCGGTAATATCATCTTGAGCTGTAGAGGCTTTTGCAATGAGTGACGCTGTTGGATGCTGGATTGACTGGAATAGAGGAAATGGAAACATGTTGCGTTCAATGATGTGCTGATCAGCCAAGATAGAGAGCAAATGATAACGTTACCATTTCATGAAGAAGAACGTTGCCATCCTTTGTCAGCTTGATATCACCTGCTCCTGACACCAACCTAAACTTCTTCTTGAAATCTGTACGACTCATCAAAATCCAAAACCTCATTCAAAAAATCTCTATGTACATATTCAAAAAATGACGCGCGGTGTGAAGATAATACTATTAGGTCACTGTTACAGGATACGTGGTATGCTTCTTCATATCGTTAGAGTTTAGGCGCCACCTTTGATTTGACAGATTCTAACCTTCTTCCCCCTAACGTCGCATAGAGATACTAGGGTACCTTACGGTTTCCCTCGTGCTTCACTGTATTCGTCTGATAGGTGCGGTATGTTTCCAAAAAAACCAGGAGAGCGACAGTTTTGACTCTTTTTCATTTATTATGAAACTTACCGCTGCAACTTGAAGTTTTAAATTCAAATTATAGCACAGCCTAACTATGGCGACTTTTTATTGCATTATTTACAGCAGGACAATCTGTACACAAACTACCAGCGTTTGATCGATTTTTTTTTGAAAAACATTGCAGCCTCGGTAAGGTAACGATAATAATCACAGCCCTACTTTTTGGAATGCAGTTGCTAGCGAATGAAAAAGCTTGTGATCGCGAAATATACAAAGGTAAATTTCCACGTTTGACTGCTCAAAAACACTATACATAGAAATAGGTAGCGATGTATTTCACTCATATTTTTGAGAAGTTGCTAACTGTTCATTTCACATAGTTACACTTCAGGCCACAACTGTTGCCCACCCGATGTCCGACTTGTGTTTTATACTGTCAGATGACACTCATCGTTCTCTCAAAATATCTTTTAAACCAGCTTAACGGATCTCCGAAGCAACCTCTCTGCGGTCATTTTATTTTATTTTGATGCACGCAGCGGTGCGCTATAACAATACAGTGAAGTGAAGTAAAACATCAACGACATATCGAGTCAACCTTACATCGGTTGGTCAAGATATAGCATTTCCAAGTATAGCTCGGCTCGGCTCCCCTAAAACTAAGAATGGAGGAAAAGGCAGGTTCTCCCCATCCTATTGACCCATTGAGGCCTCAGTACCACAATTTTAATATACTTACTTCCTTAATGCTTTTCCAACATCTGACATGAAACCGAAAATTGACTAAGACAAGACCCGTCCGTGATGACTTCACACTTTACCGAAGACCTGGTAGACTGGGTTGCGAAGTGAAAGAAGAATGTGTCCTAACCGCTGCACAATTGAACCATCCAAAATAAACTTTGAAAAACATACATTTTGAGGGTACCCTTAGGCCCGAGATTCGACCGCATCACTTCCTGTAGTCCTCTTGCCCCACTGATGTTGAGCTCCAGCGCAGCGGCATGACGAGCCAATTCTGCCTTAGGATTCAGGCATTGGATGGAAGCCATCTAAATATTGAAGGTAGGATTTGAAAACGATTGACGGAAGCGTAACGGGCTGTAAAGGCGTGTAAAAATCATACTGCAACACACTTGATGAACTTTGATGGATCAAAGCTTTTCAATCAGAAAATACACAATAGCACCATGAAAGAAACAGGAGTGAGTCAGATCCAAACCAGAAGAACTGATAAAATAAGTATCGAGTGAAGAACAAATGAGCAAGCGTTTCAGAGGAACCTTCCCGAGAGCTAACTTCACTGAAAAGAGCCATCGTTATAAAAGTCACGAAAAATGCTCAAGATCTAAAAAAAGGCATCACCCACTATTGCCAATTACGTATTATCCACGCTACCAATCTTGATCAAGAGATGCGTAGTTATCGTTGATTTGTATTGCCATTGCGTTCATTGAATAATCAAGGCTTGGCTTTTTAGTGCCTTTCCGAAAAACCCTTACCTTATATGAGAAGAATGAAAACAACCCACAACTAAAAAAAGTGATCATCGTCCAACAAAGATATTTTGTTGGAAGATGATCACAGATACTTACCGACCACCTTATTTTAATTTCAGGCCCACGCAACTAATATTCTTGAGAAGCATATCAGTAGAAAAAACTCTTATTGTGACCTAAGTGCTGCCACCATATTTGCCCAAAGTGCGTGCGAGACCAACTTGTTGTAAGCACTTAAAAACACGGCTCCAGGGTAGCTACTGTTGTAGGTAAGAAGCCACTTGGGGCCTAAACGTTCCGTATTCTAGTAAAGCTTTATCTATTATACAACGATGACCTCTACCTAACCAAACACTAAAGTAATAACGAAAGTGAATTATAACACATTTTCGAGTTTTATGAATTCAATGGCCCTCTAACCTAGAAACTGAGCAATTTGATCCTTTCCTTATAATATGATTAGAAGAAGGGGCAGTAGCTCTCAAACCAAGCTATGTAAGATGCAGTGGGCATGTCGATGGCAACTGATTCAAAGCCGAACTGCAATCAAGCCTAACACATGATAATCAAGAAAAAGGCTTTTATGCTTGTTTTTCTACATTTCGCCTAAACATTTCCTACATTTCCTTTATAATGGCGTCTTGGTCAAGACACTAATCCGATGATAGTAGCTTAACTTAGCATCAGAGCTGTGCAAAAGGAAATGAGCGGATTCTGAAGTATTTACGATCTCGAGTGAATAGAAACGAATACAAACAACATTAGACTCTTTGTCAACCCCTTCAACTTCGGGGAGTGCCCTGAAGTAAAATTAACATGAACTAGCAATGTTCAGAGCGCTACCGAAAGATTGCGGAACGTTGCTTCGAATGATTCTTCGCTACATTCATTGTACCAAATCCTACAAAACAAAAGGTCTTTCTCTGCATACTTCATATCGGTAGTATTCCAGCTGTATAGCTCTTCAGAAAAAGCTCGTTCATATAGCATCCAATGAAATCTAATGAAATTTACTTAATAATCCTCGTAAGTTCGAAAAATGTGAAAATGTTCTATCTATTAATGAGCAGAAACTGAAAAGGGGAATCGCTTCTGTACCAAGAAGCGTGAAAATCCCACTACTCGAAAAAATGGAAGATACCTATCTCCCATAGGGGTCAACGCTCCCATTTTCTTTTTGTCGGAAAGTCCGGTTTTCGCAAGTGTGCAGCAAAAAAAACATGAAAAGGAGCAGGAATAATTAGCAGAGAGTTCTAACTTCCCCTTGAGCTGCAATTAACAAGGCGATACTATTTGAATGCTATGCAGCTGGAATTCTCTCGACAGAGAGCAAACGTTGTTACACAAATAGCAATTCTATGGATCATCAGACTCGGTTTCCTTTTTCCCTTCAGCTGAAAAGAAAACCCGCATTTCACGCTCCGACAGAAAATAACGACACCAAAGGTGGAACTTGCCACAGTGGGTTGAAACACTTTGAGGGTACTCTCTGAGGAAAAAAGCATCTCGAAGGTCTTATTAAAGGACGCGACCCACCGCAGGCCAATACCCTGTAGTCCAGAGGTTGGCAAAGAGTCAGCTGTCGGTGATGGGCTGCCTTGCGCAGCCCTTCACAGCACTGCCATTGAGATGAACTTAAATTTCCAGAATTTGGCGACGCCTACGCGTGAACGTCGCGTCGCTGCCTTCACTCTAGAGCGCGATATTTTATGGTTGTTGACATTGCCGACACACACCAGTAGGGTGCTCTCGAGAAATTCCACACGGTGGCCGCACTATGGTCAGACTTTTTTACGAAAGCCCTGAACGGTGGGGATGCGAAACCTCATGGCCATCGAGCGAGGAAGATTCACTGGACCACTATTGTTGACGACGACGACTACAATAAAGTGCAATCGTAATTGTAATCCGATCATCGGCTAGTGGTCGTGTCAAAGCCTGGGAGTAAGATCAGAATATGCGGAGATTATAAGATAACAATAAACCCACAACTGGATATAAACCAGTATCCGCTGTCGAAGCCGGGTGACCCTCCACCGTGTGGTGGAGGTAGAAAAACACGTATTCACTCTTCACTTCTTATTACTTCGTCTGGGTCAACATGTCCCCGCTCTCTCGCTCCTTTCGATAAAGAGTTCACTGAACCTCCTTTCTTTGTTGCTGTAAGGGAATAGGGATATCTCAGGGAGTTGGATGCAGGCCGGGAGAGAAGAGTGGGAAGAAGATAATGGAAGAAGATCACTAAAAGAAGTGAAGTAAACAAGGAAGGTGTATAAGGGGCAACTTCGAGTATAATAAACACTTTCCCCACCAGTAAGTGCACGAGTACACCAACTGGCGATCAGGCCCGTAACTCACGCACTGGAAGAAGACAGAAGAGGAGGTAGCAGCAATCAACCAAGGAGGTCGCCGTCAATCCCGAAGGAGTCGTTCGTACACCGCCCAATATTCAAGAGAAGAGAAGATGGCAACGGCTCAGGGCGGTATGTGTCGATCGAGATGGTGGCGGAACCGGGGACCTTAGTAGAGGTATACCGCGGCCGCGCACCTGGCGCTTATGTGCCAGGTACACCGTGGCGCACTTGGTGGCGTTTATTCAATAACTTCCTCGCATTGAGGAAGGTTAGTGATAAGATTGAGAAGAGGCTGATCTTTTTGCAGGAGATCGGAGGAAGCAACTACGGTCTGCTCGAGTCACTACTGCAAAGAAGAGAACCGGAGGAAGTGCCGTTAAAGGAGTTGAGTGAAACGATGACAAGTCACTTCCAGACGAAGAAATTGGTCCTGGCCGAGCGATATGGATTGAGATTGGGAGATTTTTATTATTGACAGACCACCAGCCGTTAGTGAGAATATTTGGCCCAGAAAATGGGCTTCCACGATAGCGGTTAAGAGATTGCATCGATGAGGATTGCGGTTGATGGTTTATTTATTCGATATAGAATATCGGGAAACCGCGGAGTTTGGTAACGCGGATGGCTTGTCACGGCTACCTGACCCTAGAGAGCTACCTAGCACCGAAGCCGTAATTAGTGAGCTTCAGGCAAAAGCTATGGATCAGGAGATTTTTAGAAATTTGCCCCTGTGGGAAGAAGTGGTGGCTAGAACGACATCGGAGGACCCAGAATTAGTTAGGGTCTTACAGTACGTTAAGAAGGGCTGGCCACCTCGAATAGGAGAGAATTTTTAAAGCTTATGCGCTGAAGAGTGCAGCAATATCAGTACATGGCGGGTGCCTCTTGTGGGAAAATAGGGTGATTGTACCGTCTAAGTTGGGAAAAAAGGTGTTGCAAATGTTGCACACCAGTCATTACGGGAAAAACCGCATGATAAGCCTCACCCGGAGGAAGGAATGGTACCCTGGGAGGAAAGTATGGTACCCTGGAATGGATAGGGAAATTGCTCAACTAGCGAGGACGTGTGGGACTTGTGTCGTTTTAACTAATGATCCGGTGAAGACACCACTGCACTTGTAGGAAGAGACAGCCAAACCTTGGCAGAGAATACATGTAGATTTCTGCCAGACATAAAGTGGAGATAAATGGCTGATAGTGGTCGACGCTAAGTCGAGTGGCCGGAAGTGCCCCGTATGGGCCTTACCACCACCGAGAAAACCACTGAAAAATTGCGAATGATCTTCGCCACGCATGGGCTCTCGGAACAAATTGTATCTGTTAGCGGCTACCCACTTTCGTCAGCGCTGTTCAGGAAGTTTCGCGAGGGAAGGAATATTACGTTAATCTTGACCTCGTTAATACCATCCTAATTTTGATGGCAAAGCAGGAATATTTGTCCAGATTTTTAAAAAAGGATGGTTTAATGGGCTTTATGATGGTAAGAAGCCGGAAAACGTGCTGACGGAATTGCTCTGTGGGTATAGAGTAACCAATCACCGTGCGACTGATAGGTCGCACGCCGAAATATTGATGGGGGAGAACTGAGGACTACGTTAGACATAAGGAAAACGAAGGATAAAAGGATAATGTAACCGGGAGTAACTATAGAGAGCGGATGATTGCCGACTATAACAGAGAGGCAGAAGAAAGAGAACTTTCGTAGTCGGCCAACAATTCTATATTCGGAACTACCAGAAAGGGGACAGGTGGACCCCAGGAATGTCACCTAATTTTTGGGTGGCCAATTGCACGAAATTCATTTTGGCGTAGGTAGCGGGCAAGGTCATGCAGATCAACTAAAAGAAAGATCGGCGCCGGAGCCGGAATCGGTGAGGATAGCCCAAAGAGGAAAATTGGAATTGGAACAAGGGGTGGCGCAGAGGAAGTCAGAGCGAATACGTAAAATGAGCGACAGGATGAAGGGTTATGTGGAAAAGCGGGAGAGAACGAGCATAGTTCAGCATAGGGTTAATCTGATAGAGGCAATAAGGTGTGCAAATAATAAGGAGGAGCATGGGGATATAAAAGGAGGAGAGGCGGTGAGCTTGGTAGAGGTGGACCTACCAATCGACACCCCCACCTCCACCCTCCTGCACCTCCACTACCTCCGTGACGTCGTCGCCTAAGGGAGCTGGACCACCTATAGTGATCCAATTA